TGGTATTGTAGATGTCTCCCATTCCGCCCCCTTTGACTCCCTCTTCCCAGCCCCTACCCACCCACCCCCAGGTCTTCATCACCCTATTGCCAGTGCCCATGGGCTATGCATATAAGTATATAAATTCTTAGGTTTATCTTTTTTCCTCCCCACAACCCCACATCAAGGCCTGTCAGTCTGTTCCATCCCCCCATGCTTTGGGTCTCATTTTGTTGGTCAAATCAAAAGAGAGAACTTTGAGAGGCCTTGGAAAGGAAGGAGTCCCAGGCTTCTCAGGACTTAGGGTGGCGCGCACTTAGAAGCAGGAGCCATGCAGTGACTTCAAGCTGGAGAGTGTTCCCAAAGCACTTGTAATGTCATTAATAGAAACCATGTAAAATTGCAGGGTACAATCCCTTTGCTCAAGGAGCTCAGACTGGTACACAATTAATAATCATAGAGTAGACAGAAGTAAGCCCTGAAGAGCAGTGTTGGGACCGAGCTGAGAGGGAAGGGACTCTTGAGCTGGCCCTCAGAGGAGGAGCGGCTCTGTGATGGGTGAGAAGGGTTGAAGCTGGATATTCCACAGAGTAGTTGCTCACGCAGCTCTGAGCCACAGCTGCCCAAGCACACAGTGAAGATGCGGGTCTGAGAGTCACACACTTGGCTTGTTTCATTTCTCCAGCAGCCAGGGTTTTACACACCAGTGGTTTCAAAGGTTTCTGTGCTGTTGTCTCCTAAAGTAGCCTTGAAGGCTCACCTGTCTGTTCTCATTAACCAACCCTGAAGTGCTCTAGGTCTGACCTGTCCTGAGAATGCTCAGGGGGCATCCTTCATGGTTCTTTGAGGTGTGTTTTTCCTCACTTACCTTTCAAAATTGCTTGAAAGTCATCAGTTGGCATTATGAGCCATTGGCTATTTGTTGTGTTGATCAGGTGCGTCTGCCTTTATATTCACTTGTATGCATTTACAGCCATCCTAGGTGAGGCATCATCATGTCTTCCCTTCTGGGAAACGAGATAGAAATAAGACAGCAGCATTTTCCTGCTGCTCTTCGCCCCTCTTACCCCTTCTTGAATTCATCCCTTTGGTGCCTTGTGTGTGTTTTCTCATTTGCTTTTATCTTCTTGGATTCTCTCTACCCACCCTTCTACTTCTCTTTCTTCTGATAGAATCACATATGCTCCAAATTGGAAGGAAGTAGGAGATTCTAGATACCAAGGAGCTCAACTGTTAAGAACTTTGTGAAGGTTCTTAACCACATGGTAATTCCCCTTATCTGTCATTTTGGGTGGTGGTGGTGTTGCTTTTCAAAGCTGAATGTTTTAGATTTGACCAGCTTTCTGACATTGATCAAATAATTCCTTTAAGCTTCCATTTTCACATCAGTAAAAATAAAATAGAAATAATACTTTCCATGCAGGATTGCTGTACGAATTTAATGAGAGTGTATATGAAAGTGTCTGACACATCATCTATTCTCAGTGATGAATGTTAGCTATAATTGTTGCTTATAAGAATACTACAGGCTATTATAAAGCCTTAAAACACAAAAGGCAAATATGTTGATCTTTGGCAACAAGGGAGGGAGAAGCTGGGAAGCCTTTGGC